ATATATATATATATATATATATATATATATATATATAAAATTGGGGATGGTCTTGCTCAGGTCTTGGAAAATGGCAGGGAAGCTGGCATTTATTTAGTATTTAGAAAGCTGGTATTTATTTAGCTGTTTATTATTGCATTATTGGAATTTGGGGACAGGGTGAGGAAGAATAGAAATGGCATAGTTTTTAATTTCTGGTTATCCCCTCCTATTATTATAAATGCTTGGATGTTTCCCACAGGGTGGCCGGAGGTCCTCCTTTTCCAGGACACGTCCTCCATTTCAGCCTTCTTGCCCAGGAGGGGATTCCAAAATGTCCTCCACTTTGAGCATGACTAAGAAGGATGGGTTCATATTTCTGTGAGTGTTTCTTAGCTTTGGCCATGTGGCCATGTCCTCCATTTGGCAGCACCTTGTCCTCCTTTGCTGTGAGGACATCTGGTCACCCTGGGTTTTCCAGGCATTCCCTGCTGTCAGCTGTCTGTCTTGCCTTCTTTTCCTTTTGATGCTTTTCCTATGAATGTGGGCACCTGCCTTCTTCTGTATACTGAATATTGGCCAGATTATATGTCAGGCTTTCAGTCCATCAGTCTGTTCTCTTCCTTCCATCCCTATCATAGCCCCTCTGAGCCTGTCATCTGTCTACCCTACAATGACTTTGGGTGTCCATTCCTCCATCTCTCTCTATCTTGGTGAATTTCTGCAGGGTTTCCTTCCAATGCTTTCTTTCCCTCCTCCATCCTGCCTACACTCCATTGGAGGCTTTGCTCAGGTACAGATATGGCAGTCCTTTCTCATCTCCAAGCCTGCGACCCAGGAACCTTTCTAAAAAGAAAATCCCAAACAAAAAACCCCACCCATTGCTGCCATGAAAGGTATGGAAGTAACCATTCCTATAAGGAAAAGACCTACAGTACTGCAAAGGCCTCTGCTGAGGAGGGGAGGAACGAGGGATGGATTTGATTTCCTTCTTTCTTTTTAATATCATAAAAACATTTTAGCAATAGGGTTACTGGCAAGAGAAAGCCGTTAATGCAAACTAGGGAACTGGTGGCTGTAGTGAGGATCTAATCCAGAAACAGTTGGAATGACAAAGGAGAATGATGTTGCAAGAGAATATATGATAATTGCGGTTTCTGGTATAATCCTCATACACCTGGATATACTGGCCTGAGCAGGCAGGCTGCAGATGTCATAGCAGCTTGGATATTCAGGCTGTACAGGGTTTGTACTGCCGTTCTCTGCCGAAAGCAAAATCCTCAAAGACAACGTGGTTGCATGAAACAATTATGCGTGTTTCTCTCTGTGTGTGTATATGTGGATCTGTCACTCTTTAAGCATGTAGCAGTGCAGCTATCTCTTGGTTACAGCCATTGAATCGCTGAGGCTAAAGAGCGATTGGGTGCATGCATCCATGGCATTTTGGAACAGAAGTGCAGGAATTTCTCAGTGTGATGCCCAAAATAATACCAAGTATTCAAGGAATGCAGTTGTATGTTTTCATGGTGGAAAAGGGAGGTATTTTTTTAGCTTGGCTCAGGGTGGTGGGGGGGAGAACTGCATGTGTCTCTAACCTCTAATTCAAGGCAGCTGAAAAAACTATCTGAATGTAATCAAACCAATTAGGAGTTTTATCTAAAAGTCCAACAGAATGCACGGATTTGTGGATGATCCACAAATCCGGAGAATGCTTAGCATTTGGAACTTGCTGTGTCAACAGAATCATGAATTCCAAAGGAGGGTGGCTATGTTGATCTGTTGCAGTGAAAACAACAGGAGTCCTGTGGCCAAGACTTAAAACACACACACACACACATATATATTCTGGTGTAACTTTCCATCAACTAAAACCTACTTCATCAAGTACACAGACAAAACAATGGAAATCTTTGCATTGTATGCTGTGTTTGAAGGGAAAGAAGATGCGAACAATCTAAAGCATTAATTTTGACAGGTGATTTGTTTTAAAAGTTGTATGACTCTGAGCCCTCTCCCCATATACACTCACATGTTGCATTTTTCAATTCCTAAAACTGAAATATAATAAATGGTATATAGATTTGGTCATCCTTAGACTAGATCTATTGAAAACATAGGACCTAGGTTAGTCCCACAGATTTCAATTGATTTATTCCATGTATGGCTAAACCTGTATCCCACCCAATAATTTCACTGAAAAGTTGAGGTGTTTCTTAAATCAGTGATATAGTACAGTAACTCTTTATTGATCACCAGTATTACTTTAATTCTGCCATTAATGAATGTAGTTATTCAAAAGGCATTTGCTGGCTGTTAGCAATTGTGAAGCTATTTGTATCTAAAGAGGTTGCCTACCTGCTTTTCTGACTCTGGAAAAGTTAGTACAGTGGGCCCTTGGTATTTGCTGGTACTTGGTTCCAGAAACCCTCATGGATACCGAAACCTGTGGATGCTCATGTCCCCTCATATACAGTGGCATAGTAAAATGGTGTCCCTTTTATAAAATGGCAAAAATCAAGGTTTTTTTGGAGTTTCCAAAAAGCAAACCTTGATTTTTGCCATTTTATAAAAGGGACACCATTTTACTATGCCATTGTATATAAGGGGACATGAGCATCCACAGGTTTTGGTATATATAATATAGCTATAGCTATAGATATATAGATATATATTCAGTATATATATTTCAAACTATGGATGGTTGAATCTGTGAATGCGGAGTTGCGGAGTCCGTCGATACGGAGGACAGACTGTATTTTGCCAGAAGTGGGTTAGTGAAAATTTTGGTTGTGGGTTTGTTTTCTCATCTTTGATAGTGCATATGTTTTCTATATTTTTGTGAACTGTTATCAAGAGATTCTGGCAGACTTTTAGAAATGGTTTAGAAATGGACTTTTAGATTGGTGTTTGTTTATTTAGTTATGGGCTAAATTGGAGCATTTAATTCCAAACTGCTGAACGGATATGTTGGTATATGGCACTAATACAAATCAAAGAGTGATGTAAAAGGAAACTCAGATTCCATATAGTCTGTGTTAATGCAACCAGAAAGGAGAGAAGTTAATTCTCTTTGCCTTTCTGGGTTTCCTAGATGCCATGTCTGGGCTGGACTTGAGCACCAAACAGTTATGTTGTCCATAACTGGTATTTATAGCAGCGATGGGCACGCATACGCCATGCACGCAGGCTGTTCCCTGCCCCCTATCTCCCAGTCTTCCTGGCTCGTTCCTAAACTTGGAACAGGGATCTTGGCAGAAGGGTCTGGATACCTTGGGAGTCATATGAGCCGGCCGGCAAAACAATTAGCAGGCGTGTCGTTTGCTCTGGAGAAAGGGGCAGGAGCCATGAGGGCAGATGCAGAAGTTGCACACTTGACACACACATAACACACACATGGAGTGACACACATTCAAGTCAGATTTGTTATTTCAGTCTGTGACTAGGGTAGTTATAAAGGCAATGGCTGTCTTCCCAGAGAGGCCTGGAGTACTTGGGAGTCCTGGCTCTCAGCCACTTGGCTGGGATGCATCCAGTTCTCCATCCTATTTCCAGATGAATCTGGGAGTCCTTTCTCCCTGTCCTTCTCTTGATTTAATGCATTCAGTGTGACTTTCCTACTGTATAACCTAGGACTCTCCAGTTCCAAAACAGAATCTGGACACATTACAATTTTGGGACTACTTGGGGATTCCCTGAAGAGTTGTGGGAGCAGTACTACCAAAATTTTTTAATGTTTCAAAGTTCTGCAAAAAAAATCATCTTTTTTCTTGCCTTAATTTGTTCTTAAGGAATCCAGAAGGTTGGCTGCTGACTCCACCAATAATCCCAAAAGCTATATTTTCCCCTGAAATAAAGTATCCTTTCTGAATCCCAATTCCTATCAACATGTGAAAAGTTAAATTCTTACCATTCTTGCTAACTAATATCTGAATAATGAATTAGGGTGAAGTTTGGAGATAGGGGCTGAGCAAAGTTGGAAGGAAACAAGCAAAAGAGCTACTGCTACACATTTGTGGGACATATTGTGTAGTTCCTTGGGGAGCCTCTTTGGTAGAGATGGAGAGGAAAAAATTAGTCTCTCAGCCTGATAGACTTGGAACGTCATAAGGTCTGCCCAGATGTGGAGTCATGCAAGTGTTCAAAATTGTTTCTATTCAATAATTGTGATATTCTTGCAAAAAGGTACAGGTTTTTTTTAAAGTTTCTTAATTGCATAGTGGACACCACCAGGTGTACCTCTATATCTTCTTCAGGGGTGAGGGAATCATTTGGCCTCAAATATTTTGGCCAGTGTGGCGTAGTGGTTTGAGTGTTGGACTACAACTCTGGAGACCAGGCTTCGATTCCCTGCTTGGCTGCAGAAACCCACTGGATGGCCTTGGGCAAGTCAAACTCTCTTGGCCTCAGAGGGAGGCAAGGGCAAACCTCCTATGAATAAACCCCATGTTAAGTCCACCTTAGGGGCACTATAGATTAGAAATGACTTGAAGGCACACAACATCATTTTGGCCTTCAAATCCCAGAAGCCCCGGCCAACATGGTCAGTAATGGAATTATAGTCCACAATGTCAGCAGGGCTAGAGATTCTTCTACACCAGGGATAGGCAACCTTTCCCCTTTAAGGGCCAAGGGACTTCAGCTCCCAGAAGCCTCAGCCATGTTCGCCAATAGTCCCATGTTGGCCAATAGCTCCTGGGATTCTGGGAGCTGAAGTCCCTCGGCCCTTAAAGGGGAAAGGTTGCCTACCCCTGCTCTACACCATTGATTCCCATACTTTGGTCCTCCGGATGTTTGGGACGTCAGCTCCCAGAGTTTCTGACTGTGGACCAAGCTGGCTGGGGCTTCTGGGAGCTGAAGTCCAAAACACTTGGAGGAACAAAGTTTGGGTATCCCTGTTTCTACAGCTGCAGCTTTTCTCAGACTTCAGAGTCCTTCAGTTTTAGTGAGGAAGATCTCTAACTGTGGAGATGCATTCTCTCTGAAATGTAAGTAAATATATATGTCTGAAATTCATATGTCAGACATGCAATTGTGAATTGAGTGGGTGGTCTTCTCTCTTCCTCCTTTTATCAGCTGTCCCCTTTCCCCTCCCAGGAGACGCAGCTGCCAGAGCACCATGCCACAGAAATGAGCCCAGGGGCAATACGGCTGCTCTCACAGTTCACTCTGTCTGTCTTCAATCCCCAAGGCTAGCAGGAGCCTGGAAGCATGACCACCATAGCATGCCATGAAAACGCAGAACTGTGTCACCGTATCTGCTCTCTCATAGCCCTCTTGGATTTTGGGCCTTTGCAGACTGCCAGAAATAGTGCAAATTGAGTCCACTTTAACTGCCCTGACTCAGTGCTAGGGAATCTTGGGAACTGTAGTTTATTGTGGTACCAGAGCTCTCTGACAGAGAAGGCTCAATGTCTCAGAAAAAAATACAGTTCCCATGATTCCCTAGCACTAACCCTAACCCTAAAAGTGGACTCAATTTGCACTATTTCTAGCAGTCTGCAAAGGCAGTTTGTGACTTAAGCTAAAGGCAAGGAGCAGAGGGGTCAGCCTCCATGTTCAAAAGGGAGCTGCCATGGGGAATTGGTCCCTATTATTATTGTTATTACTATTACTGTTATTTCTTACTCGCCTCTCCCCATAGATTGAGGCAGGTGACAACGACAGTTAACAAACAACATCAGTTAAAATACACCTCAGTTTGAAAGGACAAATAAAATGTATACATATTAAAACAATCCACATCTAAAATTCATCATTGAAAATATAATAATAATAATAATAATAAAAAACCTGGGTCTTATCTTCCTCGCATGACAACTTTCTCCAACCTGATGACCTTCGGATGTGTTGGACTGAGGCACCAGCAGCTTTTTCATCCTATGCAGTCATAGCATAACACGTTGTTGTCTTGGTTTTGCCTTAAATGACCGGGAGACCTTTTGATAAGTGGACAGACAGTATGACAAAGAGAAGCATTACAAGAGTACTGAGGCAGCTTTCTACACAGACTTACAGCTTTCTCTAGAACTTAGGAACAATTATTTTTGACTGTATCTTCCAGAATCCCCTTGGGAGCCAGCATGATATAGTGGTTTGAGTGTTGGACTAGGACACTGGGGGACCAGGGTTCAAATCCTTGCTTGGTCATGGCAACCCACTGGATGAGCTTGGACATGTCACAAACTCTTAGCCTCAGAGGATGGCAAGGGCAAACCTCCTCTGAAGAAACTTGCGAAGAAGACCCCATGATAGGTTCACCTTAGGGTTGCCATAAGTTGGAAATGACTTGAAGGCACATAACAACAACCCACTAGCCATGTTGTTCCTCAAGTAATGTTCCTAATCTCTGTATGCAAAGGGATCTTATAGCACTTTTAAGTCTGACTGAAAGAAAGAAGTTGGTAGCTTGAACTTTTGTAGACTTCAATCTACTTCCTCAGATGCATGTTTGGTTCCTAATCTCTGTCTTTCTCCACCTTGTAGCCCTAAAAAGCTACAACCACTGAGTCAGAGAGATGGAGCATTATTTGCACTTACAACTGGTTGCTATCTTACCCAAAGGTGATTGCTCTTCACCCTAGGTGTGCAAGGGAGTAATGAAGTGCCACCAGATTCTCATATTTCAAAGGTTCATTGGCAGGGTATGTCACTCTTCCTCATGGGAAGGATCTAACTCTACCTGCTGCGCTGTCAAAAGTCAAATCAATCCTCTTAGCTGACTGCAAAACAAGTAAGGCCTGTTCATCTTTTGTCTGATGATGAAAGTGTCTGGAACCAGAGACATTTCCAGTCCACACTGGTGACACAAAACAGGAATCCATGGGAGCTAGGAGGTCTATTATGCTGGTTCAGGGAATGGATGGAAATTGTCTTCTCTGGGTTCATTTGAGGTTTGGCTCATGTTGGCATTTCTGCATTTGCATTTTTGTTGCTGTTGGAACAAGACCTTTTGACAGGTGAAAGGCAAGAAGATGACTCTTAAAGGAAATAGGCTCGAGTGGGCAGCCGAGGAGCAAGCCGAGCATGCGAGGCGGGCACCGCCTTCTCGAAATTCAACCAGCGCCTGAAATCGGGGCAGCAGAAATTTTTCAGTCATCCCAAGCAAAACAAACTCTTGTGGTTATCTTAACTAACAGTTATAGGAAGGCTTCAACCCACGGGATGTTGGTTCCTGCTTTTAACCCCCTGACGCCTGTTCCCTTCTCTGTCTATCTGATGAGATCCCATCCTGACCCAAAGAACCAAGCAGTCCTGGCTCCCAGCCTCTCCCTTCTGGGACAGTAGGCACCACACCCTTCTTGCTTCTCATCCTCAACCAGCTTTGAAGATGAGATAGTTGGACTGGCACCTCTGCAGAGATCTGTGTTTTCTGCCTCTTTACCCATGCCGCACCCCAGAAGGAGACGCATTTGGAACCAATTACCCCCGGGCACAGTGCCATGCCTTGTGGCTTCCTTTTGGAATATCCGGGCCAGATCAAGCTCACAGGACCTAAAAGCTACGGATGTCCTCAAAAGATTTTTCAGTATCATGTGAATGATCTGTTGTACCCCCCAAATGCATTCTTTTTATTTTGTACCTCTTTTTGCCTTTCCACACACACAGCTGACCATATATCTACATTTATTTTTCACAGCCTGGATGGTGTCCGCAAGGCAAGGCTTTGAAGCCGTCTTTGCCATTCAGGTTGCCATACTTGCCAATGCCAGTCATGCTGTGGGTTTTCAAGGGCATTCTTGTGATTCCATTGCGGGCGCTGCCAGTTTCAAACCACCAGCCGAGCGCAAGGGGGCATTGGCAGGGCAGTCTCTGCGGAGCAGGATGGAGGAGATGTGTCCCTCTTAAAAAAGTAAAAATAAAATGCAAACACCGGGTTGCATTGTCTTCTTCCTGTTTTAACCCCCTGTCTCCCAGTGGACTCCCAGTGCCCCAGTTCCAATCAGAACTTCTTTTTCTCTTCCAGTCTTTTTTTTTCATCCTATGCAGTCATAGAACTTCTTTTTCTCTTCCACTCTTTGCATGATTTCCAACATATGACAACCCTAAAGTGAACATATCATAAGGTTTTCTTGGCAAGATATGTTTAGAGGAAGGTTGCCATTGCCTTCCCTTGAAGTTGAGAGAATGTGACTTTCCCAAGGTCACCCAGTGGGTTTCATAGCTGAGCTGGGAGTCAAACCTTGGTCTCCAGCATTGTCCAACAATCAAACCAGTACACCATGTTGGTTCTTACCTTTTCCCATTATTGCACCTCCTCCTACCTTGTTTCCTTTCCTGAAAAAGATGTTCATTAACTCAGTTACATGTGTATTCACATGCATGAGTTTAAATAATCTATTTGCCACAATCCATGAAGGCATAGTGTAAAATAAATGAGTGATTCATTGCCTATTTAAGAAGAATCTTGTGATGTTACCAGGCTTAGCTCCTTGGGAATTTATGCATGGGAGTAATAGCAGAGCTCCAGTTCTCTCCAGTTGGCTTCATTTTCTTCCCAAGGCATTGCAGGATCCCACTTTCCAGAATTCCATAGTCATTCCCAGGAGAGTTGCCAATTAAGTCCATGCAGAACTAAGTCCCTTTAACATGGAGATCAGAATATAGAAATGTTAATTTTTGGATTACGAGTCCTAGAATCCCCCAGCCCAGCATTACCAGTAGCTAAGCTAGCTTCAGGAGCTGTAGTCAATTCCCATCACTCCTGATTATCTGTTGTGTGAATAGGACTTGTGGGAGTTGCAGTCTATCATCATCTGAAAGGCCACACATTTCTTATCCTTTCATTAACAGCCCCCAAATTGGTACAAATGTGTAAGTGGTTGTTTCTGTCTTGGTGTTATGCAAAAGTTTGCCTGTTGAATTATGCATCACATACCTCTCTTAAAGAGGCAAGTGTAGAGTTGGATGTTCTTGGCATGATCTTTAAAAAAATAATTCTGGCCGTTCGGCATCTCTAGTCCACATATTGTTCTCTTGTTCTAGTTTTGGACTACATTATGGTTGCTGCCACATTTCCACATCTCTGGCAATGATCCTTTGCCTTGAGCAGTGAAGCAATTGTCTGATGTTCAGCAGGTGAAGTTTGATCAGGATTGCACCCTCATGCTGTGGAAGAACACACTTGCTTGTTTTCTATATATCTCTGTAGTGTATTGAAGCCATGAAAGCATTGGTGAGCGGATGTCAACTAGACAAGCTTAGGCATTATGCAGCTTGGGCAGCAAGTGCCATTGTTGTTATTGTTGTTGTGTGCCTTCAAGTCATTTCCGACATGTTGTCCTTTATGTGCCTTCAAGTCTTTTCTGACTTACGGAACCCCTAAGGCGATCCTATCATGGGGTTTTCTTGGCAGGATTT